CGAATCTTCTTATCAAATTCATTTAATATAATTTGCACGTTATTCTGGAATGATGTTATCTTTCTTTCAATTTCATCAAGATGATCTTTCAAATCTTGAACACTGCTGCACGTATCGATTGTTTGCTGCGTCAGTATCATTCACTGGTAGCGCTAAACGTCGAATCTTACGCGACTTTGCGTCAAAGTCGGCTGCAACTCGGCAAAGAGCATTATCGCGAACGTAATTTCTGAACAATCCACGCTACTGATAGTGCGATTCGCTTCCTCCTCCGAGCGACAGTCCAAACTTGTTGATCGACATTTCGATGTCGATTGATCGATGTGTATAGATCGTGATCAATTTATAATCAGTCCGGCTTCGCGAAGTTCTTCGATAATCGATAGAAACTCGTTGTCGTGGCCGTTGTGACCTGCCTGACGCGAGACTTCGAGCAATCGGAGACGGTCTACAAGTTCGTTGGGATTGTCCCAATGTACGTAATCAATCCTGTTGTCGGTTAATGACATGGCGCATGGCAAATCGAATTTTTTCTTTATACCGGTCTTTTTACCCAACACCAATGGTGCGACGATGTTCTTGTACTTGTGTCCCTTGTTACCTAGTACTTGATTACCAGCGTTATGACCACGCAGATAAGCGTTTGTTGTCAACAGAATGCTCTTGTAAGTCTGTACATCGTCATCAGTGGATATACTTTCGTTGAGAAATTTCATAAAGATCAATTCGTACAATCCCGGTATTCCATCTATAATTATGTCGTATCTTTTTCCATCTATAATTATGTCGTCGTTTTTGCTTAAGGTGATGTGTTTGTCACCGAGCATCGTTGCCATCGTTCCCTCGTCGCTAAAGTAGACTCCATACACGACGTCTATGTTGACGGCTTTCTTAACGCTCAAGACCGATTTCAGATATTTCTGTCCCAACGGACCATAGTTTGCATGCAGTTTTTCTTGCCCCTCGGATGTTTGAAGCATATGTCGGATGGATGTTACGAGCGGTTCATTGGCAATCTCGAATACTTCTTCGACGGATGGAGCGTGATCGTACGATAACTCCCGCGATTCTGTTATTTCAGACATTTCGTTCGAAGTAGATGGTACAGTTTTCGTTCTATTCAACGCTGATTTCACAGGTGTGGAAGCCTGTATAGGACTATCGTACGAAGCGTTCGGTCGTTTTCGCTTCGGTTTCGGTTCCTCGTCTTCTTCCGAAAAGAATGCTTCAGTCTTGATAGGATCCTTGGATGATTCAACAGTGTTTATCCTTGGACGATTCAACAGTGTTTTCAACAATTTGTTTCAACGGTTCGGTAATAGGTTTAAAGTGTCTCTCCAACGCGATCTCCTCCTCCATTTTACCAGTCTTCAAAGCGCGATACTTTTTACGAATTGAATCGCTCGTTTTCGCAATCTCCATGGCTATCTTCTCATGATCTTTGTTGCTATCCATGTTGCACAGTCAGCGTATCGATGACAACTAATCGCTTCACTGTACCGCAAAATCATTAAATCCTTTTCTGTATCGTCCATTAGCAAGCGCACTGTCCTTATCAATTACGAGAAATCCATACTTTTGCTGCCAACATTTACGACACAAATCGCAGAAATTTTCGTATGGCATGTCGGTATTGACCTGATCGTTGTACACGCGTTTCAGATTTGTGCCATCCTGCTTAAACAGAATCAACAGATTTGCATTGTCACGTATAAGATGCTTCGGTATCTTTGTATAAGTCTGACAGAAATAAAAGCAGTCAACGTTCGCGTGGCGACCCATTGCAAAGTACTCCCTTATCGCGTCTTGCTTGTCGCATGCCACGTCATCAAAGATAAAGATTGAATTCGGAAGCGCCTCGCTCGGCGGAATAACCTCGCTGTTATTGGAGAATGTAAAATAGTTTATTTCTTCGATCTGTGCTAATAAATTTTCGAAATATCGAATTTGGTTGTTGCAGAGATTTCAAATAAACGTATACGTTTTCGAAGCGTACACCGTTCGGGCTCTCCAACAAACTTATCAGTACATTCGTCTTGCCGCAATTCGACGGGCCGCAAATGATTGCGCGAATAGAACTCGGCAGCATGTTGCCATACTTGCGCATCTCTTTATTGGTTTGCACTTTACCGTCGAGATTCGTCACTTTGATAGACTGCGACTGGTGCACGAACCGCATATTTTCGCGTTACACAAGAAACTGGAAAATATGTCGCGAGCGGGCCTATTTATAGAGCTACGTAGAGCGTAATCGCTCAGTAATCAAAATGTTTCTCATCGTGTCGAATGATTTAACCTCCAAAGAATTGGAATATATACCGAAAATTGTTTTACTGCGAGAGTTTGAGAATTGTATAGATCTGCTGTGGGATAGACTACCTGAGCATATACGAGCCGATTCAGAGGTACAGCGACACCATCGGTGTCTGAAGCATTACAATTTGCCGAGTCATCAAACGCATATCGACGGTCCAGCGCCGTTGATAAAGAATTGTAGCGAATGCCGTCGAGAGGCAGCGGTTTGTTAAATAAAGCGATAAACGCGCTTCCTTTCGAACTGCACATTCCCGGTTACCAGTTTTGTGGACCGGAGACGCGTTTGGAGAAACGATTAGCTAGAGGCGACAGAGGTATTAATCCATTGGACACGGCGTGTCGCGAACACGATATAGCGTATTCGCACAGCAACGGTCTCACTGAACGGCACGCGGCTGATAATATACTCGCTGAAAAGGCGCGGAAACACATTACCGCAGAGATTCGTCTCTCACAGAGAGAGCCGCCGCCACAGCTGTTTGGGCGGCTATGAAGGCTAAAACAAAGATGGGTATGGGCCTGAAAACAAAGAGGCGAAAGAGGATATTTCCGATAGCGAAACGCGGAGGTATCCTGCGCCCGTTCTTCCGCTGCTGGGCGTTCTCGGGTTATTGGTCGGCGGAGCGGGAGCCGCCAAGGCTGTAAATGATAGCAGAGCAGCGGAGCGTCAGCTGGAAGAAATGCAACGTCATAATCGCGTCATGGAAGGTCACGGTGTTTATCTCGCTCCCTACAAGCGTGGACGAGGAGTAGTAAAGAGAAAAAAAAATGTCGATGAGACGTTAAAAATACCAACGGGTGTAACTACCAACTTGCAACTTGCAAAACGTATGCGCATTCCATATTTCAGAGGTGTCTACATGCGTACGACATTACCGGTGGAAGGAGTACGTCGAAACGAGAGCGGTATCGTCAATCTAGATAACGCTGAAGGACCCGGTACGCATTGGGTAGCGTACGCGAAAAATGGGAATTGTGTCATATATTTCGATAGTTTTGGCAACCTTCGGCCGCCGAAGGAACTCGAGCGATATCTAACAAACTGTGTAATCCAGTACAATCGCAGGCCTTATCAACGTTACAATCAGAGCAATTGCGGACAGTTGTGTCTACAGTTTCTACGGACGAGTGATAAACAATTTAAAGACTGACATTGCGCGGTTTAACTCAGTATTCATTCAAACATGTCGCTGACGTTTACGCTGACGGGCAAAAGTAGTGTTCTAGCCGTGAGCTATTTTCCATCGGTAGATTTGAGCGACGATGATTAGCTCAGTCTGATTGACTTTGAAACGTACTACACTCTAGCCAATGTAAATTCGATAAACAACAAGTTTTACTTTGACAATGATGAAATTGACATTCCCGAAGGATCGTACGAACTGCGCGATATAGAGCGGTATTTGAAGCGTGAAATTTCACGTGACGGAAAGCGCAAGAAGGATGACGAGTATCCACTTGTGATTCACGCCAATAACAATACGATGAAGAGCGAGATTAAATGCGCCTATTCGATAAATTTCACCAAACCTTCCAACATTGGACCGCTATTGGGATTTTCATCGAATTGCATGCTCGAACCGCAACAGTAGTGTTATGTATGAATATGTTTTTGTATATCGTAATCGTAATATTTCGTTTAGCAATAGTTACTTATTTCGTACGAACGCACTTATGTAAAACGCGCTTTATATCTCAACCAATCACGAACAAGTTTCCGCCGAACACACTCTCTCTATCGTTCGTAGCTCGTACTTCTGTACCTTCCGTTCCCGCTACTTCTTGTAACGTAACGATCTCGCACACAACAACCGTGCCAGAAATAAAGTGCTCATTAACATTATATTCTTTTCATTGTCTCACCGAACCTCCCACGCTTAAATAACCACGCCCAAACACAAAAAGTGGCATGAGTCGGACGTGCCGATAAATATCATCAACGTAAACATCATTCGTATCGAGTGCAACGTGACCGCGGGTGCGTACAGCAACGACAAGTGCGTGCACATGATACACGAGTTTTCACCGATTGTTCCACCAGGATATAAGATATCGGAAAGGCCGACGCAGATCATTTACCTTCCGATCGTCGTACGGAGCATTACGGATCTAACGATTCGCGTGGTGGATCAAGACGGCCGATTGCTCGATTTTCGTGGAGAGGAGATTACCGTTAGATTGCATGTACGAAGACGATGGCGCTAACGTGAGATGCTTGTGCTGAATGAAAAACCAAAACAGACGAGAGATTTCATCTAGAAAAAAACTCACTGCGTCCAACGTTGCATTTTTAAAGTCGTTGGGTTTTATCGTACGAAATGGTTGATATCTTAAATATTGCTGGTGAGCCGATCTTTGACCATCGCATCGTCAAGTTTGAAGTTCATACGTACAATCCATACGCCGATACGACATTTGGACATAGCGACGAGATACGAATACCCATACAGTAGCAGGATTTATACACGTTGCGAAAGTTTTCTCTACATTGAAGGAAGATTGACTGTGAAGAAGAGGAACGATGAGACGCCAACAACGCTTGGAAATAATTGCATAGCGTCAAACGCGTGATTGTCAACGTTCGCCATGAATTGATTTTGATACGAGCGCGCAGCGATAACAATTGTATACTGGGAAATTCTGCGACGGAGCCGGAGGTTGAACTGATCAAAGTGCAATGGCGGATGCCTCATGTTATGCTAAACGAGATCAATAAACTATCAATGCTGCGAGCATTGGAAAGTGGACGTTATCTCAGTATGAGTTTTCGCTCATGGGATCTGTATGAGTATCCTCTGTTACAGAGTACGACGAAACATTCATGGGCTGTCAAAACGGCGACTCAACTCGAGAAGCCGCGTTACGTTATCTTTGCTCTTCAGATCGGTCAAAAGAATATCATGTCTCAAGATGCGAGCGTGTTTGATGATTGTAAATTGAGTAATGTGAAGCTTTATCTCAATTCAGAGTTTTATCCGTACGGTGATTTGAATCTCGATTTCGACCAAAAGAGATACGCTCTCCTGTTTGATATGTACACGCGTTTTCGTAAAGCATATTATGGAATCGACTGCTTCGAAACGCTGCTCAATGTACTCTCGTTTATCGAGAAAGGACCGTTTACGGTCATTGACTGCTCGCGACAAAACGAATCCGTCAAGAGCGCTACCGTGGATGTACGAATAGAATTTGACTGCAAGGAGAATGTACCCGCCAATACTACCGCCTATTTCCTCATCATACACGATCGTGTTATCGAATACTGCCTGCTGTCCAACGTAGTGCGCAAGATTATGTAAATTGCACCGTCAGTAATTATCTTCAATTTAAGAGAGATTAGCACTGACATGAGTGCAGTTTCACATAAATGCTCGTCATGATCATACCAACGTTTGTGGATCTACAAGGATTCGTCGTGGACAAGAAATTTATCGTCAAGGAAGTAGCAGTGCTGAGAAGAGGAACTGTTATCACACACCACATTTTTTCATGCCTATGCCATGAAATTTACTGACAAGATCCGATAAATCTTGCGCTTCCTGGTTGAGTGCTTATTACCATGGATTGCGATGGGAAGATAAGATGGTCCCGTACAGCATGGCGAAACGTCTAATCACAGAGGCTGTAATAGAAGACGATAAAGCTCTCGTATATGTAAAAGGACTTAAAAAACGACAATGACTACCCCATATACTCGACTGCGATAATGTAGTCGTTGAAACTCTAGATGCGCATTACGAAGATGTAGAATCCCTACGTAATATAGATGCATGTAATACGATACGGTGTGGAAGACACGCTAAGAATTGTGCTTTGCAAAATGTATTTAAAATATTCAACTGGTGGTCGCAACACTATAAATAATGTATGATTTTTAAATAAAAAATGTGTTACATTAATACGTTTATTTCCGTTACCCGTATCACCCATATGATAGATATAAGTCAAAAGTAGACTGGTAACTTTACAGTGTACCGATAGCGGTTCAATAGCTGTCTGATAGCTGTTTACAGTATACCGATAGCTGTTCAATAGCTGTTCAATAGCTGTTCGATAGCTGTTCTATAGCTGTTTAATATACGCATAATATATGCTTCAATGCTGCAATGGATAAAATGCTCAAGTTTCTTTATGGATTCGTTCGAGCGCGATGTCTTCTCGTATACTTTTTAGCTGAGGTATACTTTTGATTAAGATGATATATCTTTAACCGAGGCATTGCACTTTTGCACGTGATACTTTGGATGAATAATGATGTCATATTGTCACGTACATCTTTAGTATAAATGCTCACACAATCTCGAGGTCTGTCAGTCTATTAAACGCTATTCTATCAGTTCAGTCAATTACGTATCTACAAAAGAAAAGGAAAAATGAAGAACATCAATAATTTGATTAACAATATTACTAATATCCATATGAACAGGCTGATCTGATTAAAATTAAAAGTGAGAAATTGGTGATGTGTGGACGCAATCTCCAAAGAGCTGTGGCATGTGCTGGGCAGCGAACACCAGATACGCTGTATGTAAATATAGATCTCAGTGCGGATAATCAGCTGCTAGGAAGAATGTAAGTGTTAAAGAATTAATTCATTAATTGATTAATATTCGAGCTATTCGATTCTGTTTGACCTGTTAGTTATGACTGATATAATTTATTAATTTTTTCTCTTCCTATTGAGTTGATATATTTTCGATTGATTCGAATTATTGACTTTATATTTATATTTATATATTTGTATTCTTTTGTTCCAGACATGACACAGTTAATATATTTGGAAAAGTGAATAAATTGCTTGATATTTTACTAGCATCAGCAAAAAAAAGTGAAAACGATATCAAAGCGTCAGCCGAAAGGAAACGAAAATTGAACGATAACGATGATGAGAGTAAAGAGTTCAATAATGATGATGATGATGATGATGATGATGATGAAGAAATTTCTTTTATGTTAAAGCGTAGAGCTATAAATTAGCATTTTTAAAAATTTTGATATATATACTATATATGTAGTAATCTTAAGTGCGTGAGAAAGAGAAAAGTTATCTTTTATTACTATTAATTAGATTTAAGTAAGAGCGCCACGCCGAGCGATCCCGAGCGCGGGATATGATGACATATGACCAAAGCATCCAATGAGATGCTGACAAGAAGCGGGAAAATTATTATTGTAATATGGCGGAGAAGAGTCGCGTGTGCCGTGTGGTAAAGGAATAAAGTATGTAAATCTGAGAACATTGTATATCCTTCCCACCCTTAGTCGATTCTCTACAATTTAAAATATATATGTGAGTCTATATCACAGTATTCTTATTTATTCACCTTCCATCCATCCTTCGCGCGGTATCGCGTTACATTGCGACAGCGTTATCGCGTGCGACATCATCACCACGTGCGGTATCCGTATTGAGCATATACGCGTTCTTTAAAATAATTAATTCGGCAGAATAACAATAATGGAAATAAGTAGAATTATTATTATTATTATTATTATTATTATTATTATTATTAATACTGTCATAAAACATACAATAAAAATATCTTTGCGTTTGAGAAGTAGATGAAGCATCGTAGGAAGATGACATGAGTAAGAGAGAGACGGTGAGTATACATGGTAAGTATACACGGTAAGTATAGCGCGGTGGCGGCGGCGGCTGCGGTGGGAGCCGGACCGTGCCCGACACCGCGCGACGGCTGCGGGGAGGACCGCGTGCGATAGCTTACCACGTTCGGGGGACCCCGCGCCTGGCGGCTATTGACCCTGCGGCGACCACCACAATTCTTCCCGCGCGAATTTCCCGCGATGTCAGCACCCTATGACGTCATTTTCCTCCCCATCATCCCCTCCCATGACGTTCTACCTCTCGCCCTGTGACGTCATACCTAGTGACGCCATACCCCCTCGCCCGCATCCGTGACGTCATCCCCCTCCCCTCCCGTGACGTTATATCCCTCTCGTCCTGTGCGTCATCCCCTCCCTGTGACGTCATACCCCCTCGCCCTCATCCGTGACGTCATCCCCCTCCCCTGCCGTGACGTAGACGCCCCCGCGCCTCGGGTTCCTCTCGCCCCTCAACCCCCTTCAGAAGACCTGAATTAGAACCGGCCTATATACTCTACTAAAACTATACATCAAATGCGATATTCCTATTGGAAAATCTAACAGAAATATGACGGAAATAGCCGAGTAATAAATAAGCTTAACCTTAAGAATATCTTCGCCAAGACCATCTTCGATCAAATAAGAATTCTTCAAGGAAGAACTTTTTTTCGAAGATCGTCTTATTTCGTGACTATGAAATGTTACGATTTCAAGATGATCTTAATTGAATAAGACAGTCTTGATCAAGACGGTCTTAAGCGCTGCCTTGAGATTCGACTATGAATACCGCCCGATAACTTGGTGGCAACATGAACATAGGAATATAGGGACCGAGCATAAACTCGTAAAATAGACGAGGGGAGTGGACCCGAAATGCGGGTGGGAGGGGCGACTGTGACTAAACAATACATACACACAACACAACCAAACACAACTACACACACACCATCACACACTTGCCCACACGTACAGTAACGGCCAATCAGATTTAGACACACTTTACCTCGTCGCAACGTCCCGCAGTGGGCCCCCCCCCCTCCGCATCTTTATGCTCTGTCCCTATATTTCTATGTCTATGGGTGGCAACGAGAAGACGGCGAGCGTTACGCGAAAACACCCAATAATTCTAAGAACCGCACGCGGTATCCAATAAATCCTCTATTCGCGACCGCTCTCGTTACAAGCGGTATTCGATCAGCATGCTCTCGACACGTGCGTCTTACCCGATATTGCGACGCGAAGGATCGGCGAACTTACATATCTTGACGTCTGTCTCATCGATATTCTCTGAATCCTCCTCTGTCCTTTCGTCCACCGTGAAATCCTCGGAGATTCTCTCCGTCTCTTAGAACATATATAACATGGAATGCTAATAGGACGCTCAGGCTGAAGCCAAGATGTGCCAGGGTGCACCCATATTATTTACTATCGTTTAACATTCGGTGAACAACAAGGATAATATGACACATAGATGCACTCGAGTGAAGGTACGGAGATTAAGGAGTAAAATCTCCATAGCCTGATCGCCTGAAAAGTGTCCCCGTTTCGATTGTCAATATGGCGTTCTAACGGACCCCACTTCCCGGTTTGTGACGTCAGCGCCTGCGTATTACTCGCCTTGCATCAATTAAGTTGTAGAAAATGGGATGTTCTTTATGTGTGAAATCGCTGCTTCGATCTCGACTGAGATCTCGAATGACGGAATGGATTGGTGGACTGGACGGTTGAGAACACTGAGCACTCCTTTTTTAACTTGTTGTATGCAAGTTTTATTCACAAAATAAACGAAGTGTTATTCGCGTGGCACGGCGAGAGTGACGATTAACTGCGTTTAATACGCCGATACTTATCCACGACAGTAGTCGTGATAAGTAGTACAAAGTAACGAGTCGCGGTAGCGAACCCGTAGAAAGAAAGCTGCTGCTTTCAACGAGTAATTTGAGAGCACAACTTGACACGGCAAGTACTGATATATGTCTGAGGATAGACTCGCGCTGCGCGATTAGCGCGACGAATCGGCAGGACGACAGCGACATCGGTATCCAAATATGCGGCTAAATTGTAGTAATGATATTCGCAAGACGGCGCGGTGAGTGCGACGAAAGATTCACGGACGGAATCGATGGATGGCGCAATCGATCCTTTCTTCGGCTTTGTGGCGCGAAACTTATCCTATTCCGGAACATACCGCCCGCCTCGGCTAGACTAGCCGAAACAAGATTATTTGATGCCGCCCGCCGTGCCAATCGAGTTTAAAACCATATGATACATGACGCTTTACACTTTACTTAGATTTAGAAAGATACATAGAAATATTTACATAGAGAGATATATGAGAATATTAACTTATAATACAGTAAGTTCGAGCTAAAGGAGTTCGATCAATGAATACCACGAAAGGAAATCGTTCATGTGGACGTTTCGTTTAAGTCAACGGGTAAGAAACATAGCTTCACGATAGAACGTTTATACGATTTTGATGTTTTCACAGTGACGACGCGCGTTAGTCCGTCGTCTCCGGGGTGGCATTCAATGATACGACCGAGTTCCCACATGCACGGTGGTGCAAGGGGATCGCGCAAAAGAACTAGGCGTCCGACTCGGGCGAGTTTTTGAGCGACGCGCTATTTTGAGCGCTGTTGTAATCCGGTTAAATAATCATTTGACCATGCTTTCCAAATAACTTCGCCCTTTT